TTGGAGGAAGGCGAGGTGGCGCCGGCACGGGAGGCGCTGCAGGGCCGGGGACACCGCTACGCGAGGGCACCGCACGCAGTAAAAGCTGGTCGGTTCCTGCTCTGAATGCGAGTCCGTTAAGTGTGCGTGTGTGGCACACGCGTGTGCACGGCACCTGCTCCGTCGGGTCACCAGGAAGGCAAGAGGACGGGCGATACGTCGGATCCCGGCTGTGCACACGCAGCCTTGAGCGGGGGTTTTGAACCCCCTCTCATCGCAAAAGGCCTGGGAACAGCCCGCAGGAAACAGCTGGCAGCACCGGGAGGTGCGGGATCCAGTCCAGGGCTGCCGCGCCCCGGAGCCCCTGGAGGCCCCGCCCTGACACCCCGCTCCGCCTGCAGCTGGGCCCGACCTGGGCTGGCCTCTGGTCTCGGGCCCAGCCGTTCTGTGTTTGGATGAGAGACCGCGGGCCAGGTCCACCGGTGCCAACCTCAGCGAGCCCGGATCTGGGCCGGGCGGGGTACCCGAGACCAGGGACACAGGGACACAGGCACACGGAGGGACATGGAAGCTGGCAAGGGGCTCTCCGCTCCCAGAGGAAAGGAGCGGGTCCCAGGCTGCCTGCCCTGGCTGACGTGGGGCGGAATCTCCCGTGGCGACATGGTGTCGGGCTCGCACTTTCTCCCAGATCAGGAGCCTTTGAAAAGTGACGAGAGCCTCGGACTCTCCCAGGAAAGTGCTCCCTGGCCCCCCCAGTGGCGGTCCCATGTGGTGTCCTGTGTGCATGAGGGTCCAGGCCCTGGCCAGGTCACTGCTCTGCTGGTCGCTCTCTCAACCCAAGCCTCAGGCCGCCCAGCCCCACAATCCCCTCTAAGGCGCTGCTTCCCTTCCAGGGGACGCCTTCTACCTGGCTGTGGGCGGGGCCGTGGCCCAGCACAACTGGTCCCACATCACCTCGGTGCTGCAGGACCAGAGGTTCCGGTGCCAGCTCATCGACAGCTCAGAGGACCTGGGCATGATCAGCATCCAGGGCCCAGCCAGGTAGGAGAGGGGGCACCTGGGCCCCAACCCTAGTCCCTCCAACTGGGACCCGTGGCCAGAAGCCCTTGCTGTCCAGAAGGGGACAGTCTGGTTAGCTAACCAGTCGGGGGAAGCTAGAGATTCCACGCGAGATAAACCGTCTCTAAAGCTCTAAACACAGAGAAACTTTTCGTGTGACTCAGTATCGCAGGGTTCAGGGGTCACGTCTCAGAATTACATACGGCTCTGGGAGCGGGCAGAGCCGGGCCCAGGTCCTGCCTGCTGCCTGGGCGAGAGGCCACCTGCCTCCTTCTGAACAGCTCCCTGCGCGCCTGTGATGACCACAGGGCCGCTCATTCCCCATGCATTCACTCTGCACGTATTCACAGAACTCCCCACGCGGAGCCCAGCCCTGGAGGGGCACTCGGGCAGCTGGGCGCTGTCCAAAGGCCCCTCTGGCTGGGCTTCGGAGGAGGAACCTGGGGGTGGGGGGCCAGAGGGGAAGCGCATCGTGTTAAAGCCACCCACCGGCGCCTGTGGGTTGCCAGCCCTGTGCCAACATCTCCCCGGCTGCCCTAGACTGGCCGGCCTCCCTCCCTGGCGGGGTCGTAGCTGCCTTCATGGGCACTGCTCGGGCACACAGCAGGCGCACAGTGGGTGCTTGCTGAGCAGTCGAAGAGGATCTGAGTGGCTCGTGTACTTGAACTGTCAAGTGTTTGAATTTGGGTTGCAGTTAGATGGTTAGATCACTGACCCAGCCTCTGTTCACCCACCCGAGGAAGGAGAGCCTTGAGAGCGCATCTGTGGGTCTGGCCTCCACCGGGGTCGCCTGCTCCTTCATTGTCGCCGTGAGGGTGGCTTTCTGTGCCTGTGTGGTGTGTGTTCGTCCTGCTGTGTCTTCATTGGCACCAGGCCTGCTGTCAGTCTGCCCACGAGCACAGGGACTGGTCCCGCTCACCGCTCTGTCCCCAGTCCCTCCTGGTGCGGAGCGCACACCCAGGGGTGCCAGCAAGTATTTGTTGACTGACTGACTGACTGACCGACTGTTCTTGCTTGCAGCCGGGCCATCCTCCAGGAGGTGCTGGATGCAGACCTGAAAAATGAGGCCTTCCCCTTCTCCACCCACAAGCTGGTGCGAGCCGCCGGGCACCTGGTAGGTACCCGCTGTCCCCGGGTTGCGGGCAGCAGCCACCTGCTGGAAGGAATACCCGGGGCTGGGACTCGGGAACCCCAGTGCCCTTGGGCAAGGCTGTTCACCTCCCAGAGCCTTGGTCCCCACTGTGAACAGAGACCCGGTCCTGCCCACCAGCTGCCAGGACCTCCAGGGGTGCTGGGTCTAAGCCGGGCATCACCCCAGCTCCTCCTGGTGCCTGGCACAGGGGGCTCAGTCCCAGGCTTCTGCCAGGAAGGCAACCTCAGCCTCGCCACCCGCACAGCCGCCCGGGGTGCCCTCCCGCATCGGGTGACGCGTTATTTCCTCTGCCTCCTTGGGATGGCGGGGCTGGGGCAGCTGGGCAGGTCTCCATGTCCTGCTGTGTCTACCCCTTGCCCACCAGCATGGCGGGTGTGGGAGGAGGAGGGCTGCTCGGGGGAGCTCTAGCAGTCCCGAGGGGCACCCCCCCTCCCTCCCCCCCAGCTCAGACAGTCTGGGACACAGGACCCGAAGCTTCTGAGACTGTGGACAGTCAGGGCCCTGTCAGAACCGGCTTCCTCAGAGCCCCTGGGGCCAGGCGCCTGGTCCGGCCTGGGTCAGCATGGCCCTTCCTGGGCCTCAGGGTCCTTGTTGGAAATTAGGGACCGTGACCTTCCCTCTGCATTCCTGAGGCCAAGGAGAGCAGCAGACAGTGTAACACCAGCCACTGTTTGCTGTGTGGGCCCAGGGTACCAGGTGCTGTACCAGGCCCACTGGACCAGGCCCTGGACCAGGCGCTGCTCTAGGCGCACTGACACGAGGATTGCCCACACGGACCCTCACAGGGTGCTGACACCAGGAGCGGATGAACTGTGCTGGGCCGTCCTGGGAGTGGCAGGTGTTAACCTCATCCCTGCCCTCCAGCCGCTCGATGCCGGGACTCCTCCTGTTGTGACCAAAAATGTGTCCAGACATGAGCGAGTGTCCCCCATGGCTGCAGGGTTACCCATAGCAGGGGTGGCAGCCACGTGGGCAGCCACTATTTCAGGGTTACCCCTGGCAGGGGTGGCAGCCACACGGGCAGCAGCCACGGCCAGGTCCCCGCCACCCTGGAGGACGGATGTTTCTTCCAATAGAGCTCAGAGAGGTTGGGTGGGCTGCCCGAGGCCGCCCAGCCAATAAAACAGGAAGAGTGCACGGATACGTGTCCGTGAAGCAGACGTGACCGTGAGGACGGGTTGGGCAGACAGACAGATGGTCCTTTTCTCATCTCCCGTGTTCATCGGGGGTTTGGGCGGGGAGTGTGAGGGAGCGTTGGTGGGGAGCCATGCTGGCCCGCAGAAGGTCTGGAGGTCGGACGCGTCTGGGTCCTGTTAGCAAATAAACAGCATTGCGATGACATCGGCGAGGAGGCTGCCAGGGGGACGGAGATAAAGGCTGCTCTGCGGAGGGAGCCCAGGAGGCGAGGGCTCCGCTCCCGCCTCCACTGCAGAGGCCGAGCTAGGGGAGCAGGAAGCTGGGCGGGCGGGGAGGGGGATCTGTCTAGCTCACTTCCTGACTCCTCGGTGCCAAATTGCCTGCCGGGACCAGAGAGGGTGGGCACTTCGCAGGAGCAGCACAGCTCAGCCGGGGTGGTGGCTGCACCCCGCCCGCCCCTGGGCCCATGCGGCATCTGAGCTGGGAGCCTCTGTGTGGTTCAGGGTGGGGGGTAGCTGGGGAGAGGACCAGGTGGGAGCACTCCCCTCTCAGCCAGGCGCTCCCATAAGGCACCTGGAACGTGGTCTTGGATGGCGGGTCCGGCTGCCTCTCCGCCCCTGGGGCCGCCCTGGCCACCTCCCAGGTCTGGCCGCGCTGTGGTGGCTGGGCTCGGAGCAGGGCTGGCGGAAAAGAGGCCGGGCTTCGGGGTGAACCTCTCCCCAGGGTGATAAGTGGGCGGACACGGGTGGGGGAGTGGGGTTAGGGTGTGCGGGCTCCTCCCCGCCCTGTCCCCCAGGGTTGGCTACTGGTTTTGTCAAAAAGGATTTACTGCTGGGTGGACGCGTGTGCCCTCCTCTGCTTCCAACCCTCGGCCTCCCTGAGCCTTCCCTTTGTCCACCTGGCACGGGACGGGGGTGGACCTGGCACGGGACGGGGTCGTTAAGCAGATTCCAGGAGAAGCTGGCGCAAAGCTTGCCTGCCCGTCTGGGCATCAGCGTTTCACTGAGAATCCCGGGAGCATGTGCCAAATGAGGACGAGTCAAGGAAGCCCTAACTCAGCGAGAGAGGTGGGGGGAGGGAGAGATAGACCGAGAGAGAGAGAGAGGGACAGAGACAGACAGACGGAGACAAACAGACAGGCCCCAGGTGCTTCCTTCCTCCCTGACTCTGGCCGAATATGAACACGGAGTCGGGACCACCCTGCGTGCACATCTGTGTACACGGCCTCGTTCCCTCACGACCTGGCAGTCGGGTTCTTGTTCTTCTAAATGTTCTGAGAGCCGCTCTGAGCGCCACGTCCCCTCGCTCAGCTCCGTGAGCCCCTGTGCTTGGGCGTTGACGTGGGGCCGTTTTCTCTTCCTCGAAGCCCTGTGACCAGCGTCCCTCGACCGTGCCCCTTCCCCAGCCTCTCTGTGGACCCGGGAGGGAGATTCCTCAGCTCGGGACCCTGAGACAGTCCTGCGGGGACTGGCAGGCTGGCTCCCCGTGAGAATAAGCGCTGGGTCTCCTAAACTACAGGGTCTCCTGCCGACGCTGAGCTCCCCCTCCCCCACGCCCCCAGCCCGGCTCTGAAATCAATGCCCACACGTCAGCTGGGAGCATCAGCTGAGCGCCGGCCAGATGCGGAGCTCTGAGCCGGTCCCTGGATGGCAGCTGCAGCCCCCTCCACGAGTCACACCCGGGTTGAGGTTGGGGTCGGGCAGGGTCCTGCAGCCACAGCCCAGCCTGCACTGGAGGGTGACCTGATGGGGGGGCAGGAGCCCCTCCCCAAGGAGCTGATATCAGAATGAGGAGGGTCCCAGGGACAAGTTCGAGGAGGGAGAGTCAAGTCTTGGCAAGAGAAACACGGATGGAGGAGAGACCTGGTGGTTGGGGTCACGGCCGTGCTTGGGTGGAAGCTGGGTCAGCACAGAACCCGAGGGCTCAGGGGCAACGTCACCCCACTGTTCAGTAGAGCTGGGGGCTGGGCAGGCCTGGCTTCCAGTCCCACCCCAGCCTTCGGGGCTGCCTCTCAGGCCTCAGTTTCCCCATCTGTAGCGCCCAGGCTAGACAATGTCTGAACTCCTTTCTGGGCCGGCCCACCAGTCTGTCAGCCGTCCCTCCTCCCGGGCCCGGGAGTCTCACATTCTCCCAAATAAGCTGTCTGGGCTTTGGTGCGTGTTGGCGCCCCATCCCTCAATGTGAAGAGACGCCGGGGCCGCAGCGCGGGGCCGGGCCAAGTATTTATGGGAGATCGCTGGGCTCTGGCCAAGCAGATGTGGGAGCGGGACGTGGGCCTCTAGTCTGCAAGGCCTCCTGGTTGCAGGGCGCGGAATGGCGGCCCCAAGCCTCGCCTACAGCCCGGCCCGGGATGCATGGGCAGCCCCGCGGCGCCCACGGGACCCAGGCTCACCGCAGCCGGGCAGGGGTCCCTGGCTGAGCGGTGTCCCCAGCTGAGCCGTGTCACGGTTTTGCAATAATTCTCCGAGATGCTTGGCTCCGGCCAGGCTTCCATGAGCCGCATTCCTAGAGGAAGGACAGAGGGCGGGGACGCTGTCCCCTCGGCAGCCAACTGACCAGATGGCCCTACTTCCCACACATTGGCCTCAAGGCCATGGAGGTTCCCGGGGGGAAACGCTCCCGGTGTGGTCACCGGGCCGGACGTGGTGTCCCGGTGCCTCGGTGAGGACGGGCCCCTCTGCAGAGCAGCGGCGCCGGGCTGCAGGCTCAGCACGAGACGTGGCGGTAAAGCGACTTCCTCCTGAACATGAATTTCAGGTCAGAAGGAAATTGGATTTCTCTCCCTGACGGTGTGAAGTCCGCACGGATTTGATGGCTCGGGGGAAGGTTCTCTCACCCGCAACATTCTAGAAAGGGGCTCCCGATGAGGCCACCTCCACGCAGACGGCCTTGGCCGATGGGGTTTCCGTTGCCGGCTGAAAGGTCCTTCCACAACCTGTGCAGCGTCACCGTGGCCCCGGGACCCGGGAGCCGTGGCCGAGCACCCGCAGTCCCTCCTGTGGTGTCCGCGGGGCAGCATGTCTGGCTGGGGCCTGAGGACAGTGTGGTTGGAATGAGGCCGGTGGTGCTGAGGGACCTGGGGCATGTGCATCAGAGATTCCAGAACCTCCTCCAGGAGCCCCGTCCTTTCTCTGCAGGGGCGGCTGAGTGTCCGGCCCTATGCCCTGCGTCCTCTGTGGGTGCGGACAGCGCCTTTCTGGGGATGCCCCGTCGCTGTCACTAGCAGCTTGAAACCCGACTCCAGGCCAGCCAGTTGGGAAGGTGCGCTTTCCTCAGGGGCGTCCGGGGCTGACCTGGCCTTCACAGGCCGGACAGGAGCCCGAGGACTGGACGGTGTCCATGGTGCTTTTTACATCCTCGGAGGGGCCGGATTTATAAAATGCGGTTTGAGCACCACACCTTTTATTTATTTTTATCCTGATTCTTGGAAAACTAGTTTCTATCACCATCTTCACCACCATCACAATAATCACCACCATCGCCACCACTACCATCGCCACTGCCACCACCATCACCACCACCACCATCGCCGCCGCCATCACAATCATCACCGCCACCATCACTACCACCACCGCAACCACCATCACCATCATCACCACTATCACCACCACCATCGCCACCACACATTAGCCTTCTGAACCAGACCTCTGGGAGAGAGTGCACACCCCATAGCAGGATGGTTTTAGGATCCAGGATGTCTTTGGAGCCTTCAGAGGGTTTTGAAAAATGAAGATAATCTGAACATGCAACCAACGTGCTGCCTCCCTCTCCTGTGGGTTCGGGGCGGCCACAGGCCCTGCAGAGAGCAGCCCATGCTCTGGTCCCACCCCCCGCCTCTGGGCCTCGGGTCCCCACTGTTTAAGGGGTGACAGGTTGGTGGCTGCGCCTGCTGTGTCGGCCGTGCTGTCACACAACCAAACACGCTGGGAACTTGTGAAACCGCCATGAGCTGATGTGATCTGAGAAGGTGGCCTGCGTCTGTGGGCACAGCTGCTTGGCCTCCTGCGGGATGGACTCAGGTGCGCCAGGCTTGTTCTGATGGCGCATCCGGGGAGCGCCGTGGCCTCCCCTGACCTGGGTACCTGCAGGGCCTTGGGCCCAGGCTCAGGCGGGCACTCAGCACCTCCTTGGACTTCCGTCATCTCCAAGGAGAGCTGGCGGGGGGTCAGTGACGCACCAAGCCCCCTGAACGCATATGTTACTGAACCCTGAGAACAGCCCCTCCCCCCCTTCCACCCCGAAGGGTTTGAGTGGGTCTGTAGAGCCCTGTGGTCCTGGGACGGAGTGCACGGCCTCTCTCCCTCCCTCCTGGCACCCAGAGCATCACGAGAGGACAAATGACAGTCCCTCTGGCTGTCGGGGCCCGGCCGTGGAGAAGAGGGTGCCTCATCTCACTTTCATCATCTTAACCACGTAAAGCACGTGGCTTGATGTGCAGCGCACTAACATCGCCACATGATGTGCATAGCTCCCCCCGCCCCCCCAAGCTCCGAATAACCACCCTCCTCTCAGTGGCTGTGAACTTGACTACGTTAGGTGCCTCCTACGTGTGAGTCATACAGAACACGTCCTTTTGTGACTGGCCTAGTTCACTCAGCGTCACGTCCTCAAGGCTTGTCCATGTGGCAGCAGGTGTCAGAATTTCCTGCCTCTTCACGGCTGAATACTATGCCATGCGTGGATGTACCACACTATCCATTTTGCGGTGGATGGACACGGGCTCACTCCGCCTCTTGGCTGTTGTGAATAATGCTGCTGTGAACACGGGCAGCTGGCAGTGTGAGATCTTGCCTTCAGTGCTTTGGGCAGACACCCAGAAACAGAATTGGACATACGGTCGGTCTCTTAATTTCTCAAAGAACCACCATCCTGTCTTCCTGAACAGTCGCACCATTTCACATTCCCGCCAGCTGTGCCCAGGGTTCCCGTTTCTCCACACCCTCGCCAACGCTGGTCATTTCCCGGGTGTGTTTTTAAATAGGGATGAGGTCATCTCATTGCGACTTCGATGTGCATTTCTCTGATGCGTAGTGATACTGATCACGTGCCGTATGCTTACTGGCCGTCGGTGTTTCATCTTTGAAGAAATGTCTTCATCAGGTGGTTGTGCTGTTGTCGAGTTGTAGTTCTGTGTGTATTCTGGGTCTTGAGTCGTATCGAATAGACGGTTTGTCAGTGTCTCCCAGGCCGCAGGCTGCCTTTCCACGGCTGATCGTACCCTTTGACGCACAGAAGTTTGCACACGTGATGGAGCGTAGTCCTGTGAGAACGTGTTGCTCTTGTTGTCTGCACCTTCGGTGTCATAGCTAAGAAATCACCCAGGTCCAGTGTCATAAAGCGGCTCCCCTGTTTTCTTCTAAGAGTCTCACCGTTTCAGTCTGACACGTGGGTCTGTGACCGTTGTGAGTTCATGTTTGCATCGGTGTGGGAGGGAGCCCAGCGGCTTTCTTCTGCAGCGATGTTTGCTTCCCAGCACTGCAGAGCCGTCCTCTCTCTGTTGTGTGGTCTGGCCTCCTTTGGGAGACCATTTGGCCGTATGCACGGGGCTTCTTTCTGGGCTCTCCTTGCTGTTCCGTGGGTGGACGTGTCGGCTTTAGGCCAGCAGCACCGTGCTGAGTACAGCAGGTTGTAGAAAGTTTGACATCAGGAAGCTGAGCCCTCCCGCCTCATTCTTCTTCTCAAGATTGTTTTGGTATTTGAGGTCCCTGTGACTCTGAGTTTTAGGATGGGCTTTTCTATTTCTGCAAACGCCATGGGGATCTGATGGGGATTGCATTCAGCCTGTAGATCGCTTAGAGTAGTGTTGATGCTGTAATGAACGTGGGCTGTGTGGCCATTTATTTGTATCTTCTTTCATTTTTTTCACCAAAGTTTTGTCGTCTTTAGCGTACAAGTCTTTCGCCTCCATGGTTGGGTTTATTCACCTCCTTTCTGGATTGTCCTTTGTCAGGGTCAGAAACATAGCTGATTTCTGGGTGTGGATTGTGTACTCTGCAACCTTGCTGAATGAGTTTATTAGGGTGAGAAAAGGGTTTAAGCAAAACCTGGCTTAAGTCCTCCCTGGGAACCTTCCACGATTCTGTGACTCCGCCCACTGCCTGTGGTTCCCGTAAGAGTGAATGCAGGGCTGTTTTTGAGCGGGTTTCTCGGGGGGCTTGCTCTTACAGTCCCTCCACGCCAACATGTGCTGGCAGGTGGCTGTGTATCAGGCATTGGCTTCCCATGAAGGTGGTGCTCACAGCACTGGCCTCCGCCCATTTATCAGATGGGAACACTGAGGTCGGGAGAGGCCAACCCGGAGCCGGTGTCGCAGACGTCCTCACACTGGGCTTTCCCTTCCGAAGGCGTGAGCACTTCCCCATCTTCCTGCTTCCGTGGAGAGCAGGAGGGCGTGTGGGAGCCAGTGATGCTGTGGCCTTGGAGAGGCCCCTGGCATCCCCACTCGCCCTCGCCTTGCTGGGGCGCGGGGTCCGCCTGCTCCCGCCTGTTTCCTCAGGAAGCATCTGCTCAGCCCCTCTGGCGGAGCCTGCTCGGGGTGTGGGGGATCAGCCGCAGCAGCCCCCACCTTGGCTTCCAGAGCTGGGAAGGGGCTGCGTCCCACCCGGGATTCAAGGAAGCTGCGGGCCGACCCTCGCTCTGCGCGGGGTGTCAGACTCGGAGCCTCAGTCTTGGGGCTGTTGGTGGGCGAGCTGTACCGAGGATTCTTCTGTTTCGTTCCCTATGAGATTGGCTTTGGGCCCGGGCTCCGCGCAGCTGTCCCGGATTAGCCCCGCCGGCAGGCAGGCCCCGGGGAGGCCGAGAGCTTCCGGGGCACGGAAGCGTCCACAGCACATTTCCCATCAGTTTGGAGTTTTTCGAGAGGCGGGCGCGTCCAGGGCCTCCCGAGTCCAGGCCCCCGCGGCTGTGGTTAGAGCGTCCAGTGCAGAGGAGCTTGTTGCGCCGGGAGCGTGGCCTCCACTCCTGCGCGGGCGTGTCCCGAGGGGAGCTGCCCCCGGCGGGCCTTCCAGCCGGAGCAGTGGAGGGGCTTCTCCTGGCTCCCCATGACCTGTGACCTGCTGTGCTCCCCGTGACCTCTGTGACCTGCTGTGCTCCCCGTGACCTCTGTGACCTGCTGTGCTCCCTGTGACCTCTGTGACCTGCTGTGCTCTCAATGTTCCTGTTGTGAGCTGGTTGGTCCCCGGGCTGAGCGCTCAGGCCTTCCCCACGGGGACCTGTGGGTTCGGGACTTGCCCGCAGGCCTGGAAGCAGACATGGTTGCTGGGTGCCTGGATGACACGCAGCCCCACCCAGCGTTCGGGATCAGTCACATGCGGCTGGCTGAGTGACCCCAGGCTGGTGGTGGCCTCGTGCAGTCGCTGGTGGTGACGGGTGTGAGGGACACACGCAGAGACCAGCTGTCCCTGTCACAGCTGCTCCTGCTCGGGCCCCACACCAGGGCCTCAGCCCACTGACAGGCACCCTGATAAGAGGCACAGACAGGACGCAGCACAGGAAAGGCCGCGGGGCGATGGAGGCAGAGGGTGGGATAACGTGGCCACAGCCACTGAGCGCCCAGAGGCCAGGGGAGTGGGGAGAAGGGTCCCCCCGGGGCCTGAAGGGAGCGCCGGGCTGGCACCCGCATGTTGCATTTCCAGCCCCAGAATGGAAGGGAGTCCAGTTGGTGATTTCAGCCACAGAGTGTGGGGTCATTTGGTGGCTGCAGGATCCTCACACGGTCACTTAGAAGGAGAGCTGAGTCCCGGAACTGTGCCCACTTTCTCCCAACGCCGACCCCCTTCTCCCCTTACAGGTTTCCAAGGGCTCCTGGGAAGTCTCTTCGGAGACCCCATGTTTCGGTGGGGGGCTGGCCGGGGCTCAGGGACAGCCGATGACAATGGTGAAATGGCACCGTCCACCCGTGAGTGGGAGCGGGGCCTTGACTGCGGTGGGTGCCCCCAGCCAAGTGAGCGCTGTGACTGTCCCCAGGTGCGGGCCATGCGGCTGTCCTTCGTGGGGGAGCTGGGCTGGGAGCTGCACATCCCCAGGCCGTCCTGCGTGCCCGTGTACCAGGCCGTGATGGCAGCAGGCGCCAAGCATGGCCTTGTCAACGCCGGCTACCGGGCCATCGACTCTCTGAGCATCGAGAAAGGTGCACGCAGGTGGCGGGGGTGGGGTGG